GGCAGCTGCTTTCTCCTACGCCGTCTTGGGGGCCGCCGCCGCCGCCTTTTTCTTTGGTGCCATCGCCTCCCCCCGTCCGACCGCGCGCTGGGGGCCAGCGCCCGCGGGTCTCGAGACGCCGACGTAAACAACCAGCCTGCTCAATCGATCTGACCTGCTGCAACCCATACAGAGATCAAGGCACGGAGCGACCTGGACGGCAAGCAATATCCAGATCGGCCGCGTGCTATGCAAGTATATAGCCCCCCCCCTTCATGAACGTGACCCAGCATGAAATGTGCCCGTGGCCACGTGGTCCACGCGTGCCACGTCGCGCGCGCCTGCGCGCGTGCCCATGCTTCGACAGAGCGCGCGCGGACACCTTAAGGGTGCGCGTGTGCAAATGTATTAATGCGTGCTTGTGCGCGCCACATATGTACACACTAGCCTATATAGAGCGCGTGCGCGTCACTGCGCCCCGTCGCGCTTATAATGCAATATCCAGATCGGTTTGGACGCGCGCCCTTTTCGCCTGCTTGATCGCCCGCGGGACAGGCATGGGCTCACGGGCGCACGCAGCGCGCCCGCAGCTCTATGCGTCTGTACAGATAACTATCGCCACGTGTATAAATGTATATCTATATAGATGGCACACAGGGTGTCGCGGCCTCGAGCGCAACGGCGAGGCGAAGCAAGCGTGGCGGCGCGCGCGCGATCACGCGCGCTATACACGCACGCGCACCCGCGCGCGCGCGCACCCACGCGCGCACGCACACACCAACACTTATTTACCGAACGCAATATCCAGATCGGCGAGCCGCGTCCCTTTTTCGCCTGCTCGCCAGCCGCGAGCGGCGCTCCTGCCTCGAGGACCGATCGCGGCCTGCGCGCGCCCCAGCCCCACCCCCCCTCCGCGGACTGCGGAACGGCCCCACCGCTGGCCGCGGCGCAGCCAGCGCGATCGGGCGGCTGCCGCGGAGGGCCACCAGGCCTCCCGCGGGGGGGGGGCCAGGCACCCCGCCCCCCCCCTTTTTAAGGCGCGGGGGGACGGGGGCGGGGGCGGGGGGGGCGAGAACATCAAGGGAAAACACCAAGAACAATCAAGAACATTAAAAGAACATTAAAAGACAGTAAAAACATTAAGAACATAAGAACATCAGAACATCAAGGCCATCAAGAACATCAAGAGACATAAAAGAACATTAAAGAACATCAATACAGAACATTAAAGAAAATTAAAATAACATTAAAAGAATTAAAAGAACATTAAAAGAACATTTAAAGCACTGAGAACATTCAGAACATTAAGAACATTAAGAACATCAAGAACAACTAAAAGAACATTAAGAACATTAAGAACATTAAGAACATTAAGAACATCAAGAACATCAAGAACATTAAAAGAACATTAAAAGAACATTAAAAGAACATTAAGAACATTAAGAACATTAAGAACATTAAGAACATTAAGAACATTAAAAGAACATTAAAAGAACATTAAAAGAACGTTAAGAACATTAAGAACATCAAGAACATTAAGAACATTAAGAACATTAAGAACATCAGAAGCACCACGCTGCGCAGGGGGTGGGGGCAAGCGGGGCGGGCGCGCTGGCGCGGGCGTCGACGGCGGCGCCCGCGCGCCTCTGCGCCGCCCCGACGGGGCCTTCGCTGGCCCCGCGGGTCGGCGCGTGGCGCGCGGGCAGCCCCTTTCGGCCCCTTCCGAAGCGCGCCCGCCCTGCGGGCCCCTCCCCCGCGCCTGCGGGTTGGCCGCGCAACGCGCCAGGTGCTCAGCAGGGTGCGCGCCGAGGCAGCGGGGCGCGCGCGGAGGGCCACGGGCGCGGTGGCTCGCGTATCGGGACGGGGCGGTGGACGGTGCATGGCGGTGCGGGCTAGCCCCGCACCGCCATGTGCAATCCCCCGCGCCGTCCTTTGCACGCGGCCCCCGAGCGCCGTGGCCACCGCGCGCGCCCCGAGTCGGCCCGCGACCCTGCTGCGCGCTGGCGCAGCGCTGGTGCCCAACGCGGCTGCTTAAGCTGCTGCAGTGTAAGTAAAACGTAGCAGGGTCAAGTCGTCCGCGTGGCGCCGCGGGCAAGCCCAGGTGCACCTGGGCGAATGGGGGGGGGGGGTCTCTCCCATGCGCGCGTTGCGCGCGCGCGCGCCAACGCGCACGAACGCACGCACGCGCACGCGCGCCCGCGCACACGCACACGCACATGCACATGCACACGCACATGCACACGTTATGCGTTGCGACAGGGCGTGGCGCGCCGCGTCAAGTACGACGCGCGCAGACACGCGCGCACGCGCACGCACAACCGCACGCCCACAGCACATACACACAACGCACACATACACGCACACAGACACACGCGGCAAGACAGAACACGCGAACCGCGCTCTAGCATTTAGGTTTCGTTCCGTTGCGTGGTATGGTGCTCAGGACCGCAGAGCAACGACGCAGTGCCAAGCGGACATACGCGAATGAGGGATTGCTTGTTGTTTGCGCGATGCATGGGTACGTGCTCATGGACATGAACTTTGGTACGCGGCTGCGTGCTTAAAGGTGCCTGCATTTGTCACGGTATACGCTCAGTGTGTATGTGCACGTGTCGGTCGCGCACTTATTATGGATCTAGTGTATTGTGTATGCGTAGACGTTGGATAAATGCGCATATATACACATTTTTGTACAACTGTACACACTGCTGCTTATATATATACATACGCGATGCATTAATGCATCTGCATATATACACAGAGTGAGGGGCCTGTGGTCGGTCACTGTCCTTGGGTGCGTGGTTAAAGTGGGGCCCCGTGATGCGGATCACCGTAGTCGTTGTGGTCGTCGTCGTCATCGACGCCGTCGTCGTCGTCGTAGTCGTTGTTGTTGTTGGTGGTGCTGTTGGTGTTGGTTTTGTTGTTGGTTTTGTTGTTGTTGGTGTTGTTGTTGTTGTTTCATGGTGGTGTAGTTGTTTGCTGGTTGGTTGCTTGTTTGTTTGTTTGTTTGATTGTTGTTGGTGTTGTTGCTCGGCGTCATACCACTCACGAGCCACCCCGCCACCCACGTTGCTCCAAATAAAAAAAACCGGCGCCTGCAAGAGTAAGCGCCTGTGGCGGGGGTCTTCAGGGCCTCGCAGACTGCAGACGCCCCCGCCGCCCCCTCACTCTTATCCGCGACCGTGAGGCGTCATCTGCATACGTATGTGTATATAGATTTAAAATATGTGCACGCGCGCGCGCGGCCAGCGCACCCAACCTCCGTGCACGCTGCGTTCACTTAGCGAAGTTGTTGCGCCACGTTACCTCCTCTGAATCCGCCCCTTCCTCCTGCATATCGGTCCTCCTCCTCCTCGTAGGGTTCGTGCCCATCCTGCGTTTCGCCCCCTATCCTCATCAATTGAATCCGCATCCGATGATCATCTAATTCTTCTCCTCGTGGGACCTCTCCTTCCCCCTTGATCAGGGTGGTCGTGCTAACTCCCATGTGCACACTTCCAGATGCGTCCCTTTTCGCCTGCTGTTGCGGGGTTCGGCTCGAAGGGGGCTCGCGAGAGCTAGCAGGCCCAGGCTGTAGCTCGATCCGTCTGGCTGCACGTACCCTGGCACGCACCAGCAGTTCACATCGAAGACATCCTCCGATCTGACATGCATGTTCTGACATCGGACTGTATATATTATTTTGACCTGCGCGGAAACAGCCATCTGCCGACGCACGTGTGAAATTCAGCGGGCAACGGTTCAAGCGACGAAACGCCCTCGCAAGGTGCATCTGGACACAAGCGACATTGAATGATTCAGACACCTTATGCAGCGCTACCCACTTACTTCATCCATAGGGCCAGTGCCCCTATCCCTGACGAGCGAACAACACGGACCCATACCCATAGGACGGAGGGGGCTATGTGTGCGTGTTGTCGAATGGGGGGTCCCCGCTCGAACGGGATCCTCGAGTACCCATAGCCAGTCCTCCTCCCTCCGACCCTCCTATGGGTACGGGCGTGTGTGTTGTTTGTTCGGCAATCCCCCCCATATGTTGCATGGCGCTCGAGCTCGCTTCCCGTCAGCGCGGGCAGCTCCCCTCGCGGCGCGGAAGATGCCCGTCATCAGGCGCGCGCTGCGCCTCCCCTATTCTGGAAACCGATCGCGTTGATTGCTTAAGCGAGACAACGAAATCACCTCCCCATACATTATGCATGACCAGGAGTGGAGTTGAAACGCTACCCTTGCCAATCTTGCAGACGCTGACATTCGGGGAGAGGCGATCAGGAAAACAAGAGTTTAGATGGCAACGTCCCCCGCCTCGATCTGAATCCCCTTCTCCCCGACGCCCGCGACGCTACATCAACATTTGCATGTTCCGTCTCTGACGCCCCCTCCCGCTTCCATCCAACATCATCTTGACATGCACCCTCCCCAGGGCGCCGATGCAATATGAAGCAGCCCGTTCACAGCATACATAAGAATACACCCAGTGCGTGGTGTAGAAGATGTTCTGAATATGCTGCACCTCCCCTCGCCGCTGTTAGGTTATTCCCGAGCTCCTCCTACCGTGCACTCGGCTGGCCTTCTTCCCCGTAGTGCTTCGATCTTCGTTCGTCCTAGTCGTAATTCCTCGTGCCTCCTCGTGCCTCATCGTACCTCCTCGTACCTTCTCATGTCTCCTCGTATATCCTCGCCCTCCTCTTCGGGCAAGTCGTCGTCGCCACCGTAACCATCACAGCCATCGCCATCGTCACCGCAATCATCATTACCACCATCATCGTGGCATCATCATCATCAGCATCATCATCATCAGCATCATCATCATCATCACCATTATCATCATCATCATCATCATCATCATCAGCATCGTCATCACATCATCATCATCACCATCCATAGCACTCGCCATCGTCAGGTTCAGTGTCACCACCATCACCATCACCGCATCATCGCCGCCACGACCATCCCCATGCGAAGTCGCGGCGCACACTCTGTGGGCACCCCCCCCGCCTCAGAGACCATCCACGACCTCCTGCCTGATGGGCTTCACCTGCCCCTTGTCGACCGTGCCCTGCTCGACGATCTTCTCCCTGATCTTCTCGATGACGATGGTGCTCATGGACGGGCCGTCCGTCTGGCCGTACTTGTGCATGATCGCCTCTGTCCATTGGGCGTGGGCGACCTGGGCCAGCTGCCTCCACTTCGAAGTGCAATCCTCGCTGTCCTTGTACTGCAGCGTCGTGGGCCCCTCTGTGAGGCGCTGCCTCACCTTCACCCAGAACTTCCCAGCCACGTCGACGACGACCATGGAGGCACCTGGTGGCGGCGCCGAGGCCCCGACGTGCGCAACCTGCTCATCGGCGTCGGCGTCGTCCTCGACGACAGTGTCTGGGCACTCCTGGACCTCCCCTCTGGGTCCTCCTCATCTGCGTTCTCCTCCTCGGGCTCCTCGGCCGCGATCTCCTCTCCGCCATCTCCGCCGTCGGCAGGGCCCCCGTCGTCGTCGTCGATATACAAGGTGACCCCATCCTCATCCTCATCATCCTTGATGGCAGCCTTCTTGGCAGCTGCCGTTGGTCCTGCAGCTGCAGGCCTCTTCGTGGGAGCTGCCTTGGGTCCACCTGCCGCCTTGGGTCCACCTGCCTTGGGTCCACCTGCCGCCTTGGGTGCACCTGCTGCCTTGGGTCCACCTGCCGCCTTGGGTCCACCTGTCGCCTTGGGTCCGCCTGCCGCCTTGGGTCCGCCTGCCGCCTTGGGTCCACCTGCCGCCTTGGGTCCACCTGCTGCTGCCTTGGGTCCACCTGCCGCCGTGGGTCCGCCTGCTGCCTTGGGTCCACCACCTGCTGCCTTGGGTCCACCTGCTGCCTTGGGTGCGCCACCTTCTGCCTTGGGTCCACCACCTGCTGCCTTGGGTCCGCCTGCTGCCGTGGACTTCTTCTTGGCCGCCTCCTTGGCCGTTGGCGCTGGGCTCGATGCCACCCCTGGCGGGGTGGCGTCTATCAGCGCGTTGGTGCCGTGCCCGCTGGACTTGCTCTTCTTCGACTTGATCTTGCGGCCGCGCTTCACGCCGCGGCGCCTCGGGGTCCGCGCGGCCGCGGCGCCAGTCAGGCTCCCCCAGAAGGCCATCTCAATCTGCCGCGCTGGCGCGGCTGCACTCGAGGATGCACCTGCGCCAGCGCCGTCGGGTGGAGCACTCGAGGATGCACCTGCAGCAGCGCCGTCGGGCGGAGCACTCGAGGATGCACCTGCAGCAGCGCCGTCTGGTGGAGCAACTAGAGAGGATGCACCTGCAGCAGCGCCGTCGTCGGGTGGAGCAACTAGAGAGGATGCACCTGCGCCGTCCCAGGCAGCACCCTGCGCATACAGATCAGCTGCGCTCATGGGCTGATCCGCGTCGAACTGCTCATCTTTGATCGGCAGTGGCTCGCAGTCCTCCCCTCAGGATAATATATATATATATATATATATATATATATATATATATATGCACAAGTATACATACTTATATATATATAGTAGGGAGGGAGACGAGGGAACTAATGAGCAGGACGAGAGGAAAGGGGCACAAAGGACGACGTAGCCGTGGCGAGGGCGGCAAACGCAATAATTAGCAAGGGGATCGGGGGCCACGAGACTTGGGTTCGGCCCCGTTCGCAGGACAAGCATGCCATCTTATCTGTAGGCTGGTGCGTTGACCCCGCCCGCTCTCGCATTACCCCCTCAACCAAACAGCAGGACAAAGGTCACTGGCAGAAACGGGACAACCGAAAGATGCCGACAACGTACCCTCGGGAAGGAAGCGAGGACCGCGAAGTAGCAGAGACACGGCACTGCCACTGAACTGAAAATTTAAACCATCCGCACGCACGAAGCAGCAGAGCCCTCCTCGTACTCGAAATTGATCCTCCATCATCCCCCATCACCCCCTTTACATCCGCCCCTTCGGGGAATTATCCCTCGTCTCCTAGCTCCTCCTGGTCACCTTTCCCACCCCCATGCCATATAGCCCTCCTCCTTCCCCCCTCAATGTGCTCGCCATGGCAGTCCCCCCGCAGCTTCCTGGGGGATCTCCAAGGCCTCGCGCATCTTCTCCATCGGGTCAGAGTCGGGCACTTCTTCGATCTCTTCGTCCAGCGAGACCTGCCGCCCATGTTAGTCCGAGCGTTGTCACTCACTAGGTGGCGAGGCCAGGAGGACAACGCGAAGTGTGTATATCACTGAATTCAAGCGAAGCGTGCGGGTCCAAACCACTGATGGTCATCCTGTTCCTCCTCATCCTCTGGCCCCTCCCGCTCCTCCTCTCCCCACTTCGAGCCGCTTGCCGATCCGGCCTCTCCCGTGCCATTCCCTCCTCTTCCTCCTCCGCCCTCTCCTCGAGGAGGGGTGTGTTGCGACGGATTGGTCGCTCTCTACTCTGAATTGAGTTGCATTGTTTTCAAAGTAGGCACGGGTGTCTACCTGGAGCGGTTCTGACTCGAAATCTGCGACAAAGAGTCTTCGACCCCAGAAAGCTGGCCAGAATCGGAGAGCCCTCCCTGCTCGTATACATTGTCCTCCTCGCTCCCCCTCGCATTGCTCGCCCTGGTCGTCCTCCTCTCCTTGCCCGTGCTCTTAAGATCGCCATCGAATCCCTTGCTCTAGCCATGCGCGCGCACGCACGCGCGCACACGCGCGCACTCGTGCACACGCACGCACGCCCGCCGCTTCCATGCGCGACAATCCCCACCGACCATGTCGTCACTCATGATGTCGCGGGCCTTAACCCGCTGGCGGTGCGCGAAGCCGATGCGGAACTGGCGGCAGAGCAAGAACCTCGCTGGCACAAAGCGATGACCCCATGCTAAGCTCACACGGCGTAAGAATGGAGGCAAGCCCATGAGGACACTGATCAGGACGGATTGCGATAAATGGGCACGGGTCAGGAGGAGAAGGAGGACGCGGATCAGGACGGATCAGGAGGATGAGGACATTGATCAGGACGGATCAGGACGGATCAGGAATGCAAGCGGAGGGGCGAACATGGGAATCACAGTGATCAGAGTTTGCGTGCTGGAAGCTGTGGCCCCTCTTCCTCCTCCACCTTAATTCTCCTGACCTCCCCAGCCTGCTCTACAAGTGAACCTCTGAAGTTTCACCTCCTCGTCGCCTCCCCCCCTGCCCTTCCGCCTCTTGATCATCGCGTGCCCCGCTGCTAGTTCCCATCCTTGACGAGTCTTCGCTGCTGGATTCCTACCTTGATCCTGCTGGCGCGGTGGCCTGTGGCCGCCGATGACTTTCGGGGTCGGCTTCCGCCCCTTCGTCTGGCGGTGCTGATCCTTCATGCGGTCTTCGTACACGCGGCTCCACATAGCCTGCTGGAGCTCGCGCGGAGCGAGCGGGCGGGGGCGGAGCCCATCGAAACCAGCGTGCATCTTAATTTCGCACGGGTGAGGTCAAGGCGAGGAGGTGTCAGGTGAGAGGGCTCAGTGATATCAGTAGCACTCTTGACCGAGTAAGGCAGACGTCCGCGCACGGATTGGGCAGAGTCAGAACAGGTGAGAGGAGGGAAGAGGACGGCAGCATGAGGATGGGCACCGAACCTTATTATTGCTTGATCATTGTCTCCCTCGACCCGTCGCCTCCTCCTGCTCCTCCTTCTCTTCCTCCTCCTCCTCCTGCTCCTCCTCGATCCCCAGCTTCCCCCTCCTCCATCCTCCTCATCGCCATCCTCATTGTTATCTCTATTTCGGTCCCAACGCCTGGTCGCTTCAAGAGGGGTCAAATCGACTGCGTGCGAGGGGGGTGAGTAGCCGCGAGGATGAGCCCAGCAGGGGCTCGAGTATATGTGGATGGCAAAGAAGAGAAATACTTCAGAGACGGAGGAGTCTAGAGGCTCGAGTGAGAGCAGGGGGGTGAGGATGAAGAAGCGGATGAGGGATGCATGAGGCCTCCCCTACGCATCCCAAACCCTCCTCATCAATGCCCCTCTCGTTCCCGCTTCAGCCTCGCAGTTCTTCTGGCTGAGCCTCCGTCCGCCAGTGGCGGCCTCGACCTTGTCGTGCGTGGTGCTGAAGATCTGGCCACCCCACGACCCCATCACATACAGCCAACTCGTGCTCCGCATCCTCTTCGCCATGTGTCTCGGCCCCGCGTGCGTCCTTCTGGAGACCCCCCCTCATTTATCGCCGCCCTCCCTCCTCCCATCACGTCGCGAGCATGACGCTGCGACCCCAGGCAAATACCCCTTCAATGCCGACGGATTCCTGATCCGTTACATCATCCTCCGCGTCACCCACTGCACGTCTCAACCGTCTGAGAGAACAATGTACCCCCCCGCGTACCTTCAGGACGTCCTCTTGAGGTCGGCAGCTCGAGCTGGTCACGGTGTATACGCTCCAATTGGGGATGTTGTCATAGCCTCTGGGTCGGGCGATCTGTTCACGGCGCCCTCAACCTCGACCACCGTCTTCCCTCATCACGTAAAGGGTGGCGAGGAGGTCGACGCCCGACGTTTCGAGGAGGGAGGGCGATGGGGCTCAGTATTGCATCCTCCTCCTCAGCCTCCCTCGCCCGTACCCTCTCATCCAATCCTGAATCCTCTCCATCCTGATCGCTCCGTTCCCTCTGCTCGACGTTCACATGCCCTCATCTCGATCCACCTTCACCCTCGTATTCCCATCGTCCTCATTATGATCTCCTTCAGTCTACCCGTTGTCCTCGACCAATGCCTCCACCTCCACCACCTCCATCTTCACCACCACCACCACCATCGCAAACATCAGCAGCATCATCATCATCAGCGTCATCGTCATCACCATCTTCATCATCTTCGTCATTGTCGTCACCATCAGCCCCATCAGCATCCGCAACCTTATTGGTATCATAATCGACCTCATCATCATCATAACCATCATCATCATCAGCATTATTACCATCCATCATCGTCATCATCATCAAAGTCGTCACCATCAACAATCAACACCGTCGTCATCATCATCACCATCATCATCATCATCGATCCTCCTAGCCACCGCGCATCTCTCCGCGCCTGCCACCATCGGCACGCTGTCGTAGACCTGGACGGCCATGGCCTGGCAGACGGACATCTCTCTCTCTCTCTCTCTGTATACCACTCTTTCTATCGATCTCTCCACCTCTCTCTCGCACGCTCTCTCTCTCTCTCTCTCTCTCTCTCTCTCTCTCTCTCTCTCGATCTCTAGGCAAATATGTGCACGTCCAGCCTGTCGCTGGCGAGTGCACCTGCCATGGCGACTGCCCGCCCTCCCCGCCCCCCCCCTCCTGGTTCTACTACTCGTGATCGTGTCTCCTCTCTTCCTCTGTCTCGCCCTGTCTCGCTGCATATCCCCCCCCCCCCCGATGCCCGCGATGGCCTCTGCCAACAAGTTCATCGTGCTGTCGTCCATGTCTGCAGTCTTCTGGTGGCTGAGCTTTGTGTCGGACATGGTCGCCTCCAGGGGCGGCGCCGGCGGGGGGGGTGCAAAACGTGGGGAAACCATGGCGCACGCTAACCTGGGCTACCCCAAGCGCGAAAAGATTCGGTGGCCCTCTGGTGGGCCTGGGCGAGGGGGCTGGGGAGGGGGCGAGGAGGAGGGGCTGTCTTGGCATGGGCCTTGACCAACGCCATGTGGGACTTGTACTTTCGCACAAAACAGCGCCGCGCCCAGCGGCACAGGCGTCTCGGGACCTCGACTCCATCACCGACCTTGTCCGATAGAACGAAGGGCTTTGGGATGTCCTAGCGGGCGTGAAGGGGGGAAGCTGCGAGGGAGGCAGGGAGGGGTGGCATAATAGGGCGTGGTAGGGGGAGGAGGAGTCCTTGGGGCGCCACTCTGGCACCCCCGCGCGGTCGAACGCCGCGTCTATCCTCTCAGCGACATCCGCCATCGCGCCTCGTGGGCGGTGCCAGGGCCCATGCTGATTCACTTCCATGACCCCTTCACTTGATGCGCTTCTGAGCTCTGGCACTCACATCGATAACAGATCTCACCGACAGGATAGACATGGCGTTCGACCGCATCCTAGGGCCATTACCAGTGCTCGTTTCTCTCTCTCTCTCTCTCTCTCTCTCTCTCTCGA